GTATAACACACTATATCGTATGAATAATCTTTATTCGTAAAAACAAAATATCAATAACAATTTTTAAAAATTAAAAATTAGAACAATTAATATAAAATTAAATAAGAAAATAAATAATAAAGTTTATAATCATTATCACAATGGTTATACTGTGGCAGTCTTTGCAGTTACATAAAACGATAAAACAAATAAAAAACATCCTTCTAAGTAGTAATAACATTAGGTAAATAAATATAAAATATAAGATCATCTGTTACATTGTTAATAATAATATATATAAATTTACATAATTATAATATGATTTAAATATTTAATTATGATAATCATAAAAACAATTCCTTGTCTTGGTTATACATAAATGGACATTGCATTTTTTGCATGCCATATGGGTTCTTTTTTTACATCCCTCTAACTTACAAAATGTGGCATCTCTCAAGTTATCCATGTATGCATAATGGCCAGTGTTATCTTTTCTCATCACATCAGTGGGGTATCTATCAATTAAACGATTTTTTTTACATGGTTTAGGTTGAACTATAATTTTGTTACATGACGACGGGCGCCCTCGTTTTCTGGAAGGTGTTACTACAGAACTCCCTACAGAAATCAATGTAGAAGCTAAATTTTGCTTAAAGCCTAATAAGTCCATTACTTTTTTTTTTGGTAAATTTATTGTTTCAGCATCATTTTTATACTCCAACCATGCATTGCAAGTGGCCATATCAAAGGCATGAAACAGCATACGCAGAGTCCATTTCCTAGATTTTATAAACACTCTATAATAGCTAATGAGTTGGTCATGCAAATCCACCCCACCCATTGAATCATTATATAATTTCACAATTTCAGGGCGACCTACTTCAACATAACATTTATTTTTTTTATCATACCGTTTAATTATATCTGGGCTGCCTGAAGTTACAAAGTTAGACGCGAGACTTACAGATTTATTATCCAACCATTTAATCAGACCAACTTTTCCATCTGTTGAGGTAACTTCATATGAAGCTCCTCTTCCTAATGTATTTAGCTCTTTATCGCTCACAATTGGAGGATTAGCAAAACGATTAAGTCTAACTGTCCCAGCTGCTTTAATTCCCAAACACTCAAGTGATGTAAATAGATTGTAAGAGCTAAAAAAATTATCAAAATATAAATAATGTTCATTTTTATCTATGTGTTCAACTAATTGTAGAACTGTGGAACCCCCGAGGCCATATTTTTTTGTTATTTCATGATTTATTTCAGTTGAACTGCCCTGGTATAAAATCATATTATAAACCATACCATTAGCAGAGCAGAGTAAAAAATTTTTAATACCCCAAGGGCAGGGTTTGCCTTTCATGTATTGTTTGACACCTAATTTCCCTTTAAATTTGACCATTTGTTCATCAACAGCTAGATTAGTTTCTACTGGCAATTCTTTACAACGTTTTATAAAAGAATTAAAAAGTGGTCTAACTTTTATAAATTTATCAACATTGTTTTCAGGAATGTCATCGTTATTCATTACATGAAAACAAGACCTCAACTGAAAAAAACGATTTCGAGACATATTATCAGCAATTATATTTACTCTGTCCTCATTAGTCCAACATGATCTTATTCTACTAGGTTTTTGACAACCAATCTTCAAATGTATACCCACAAACACCTTCATTTCTGAAGGTGTAGTATCTACATACTTTATGAAATTATTTTGTTTGGCATAAATATTTGTGTACTTGGCCATATTTTCAAACTCTTCCTCAGGAAAGTATTTACTGAAATATTCTATTGGTAATAGAGTCTTATAAGTAGTTGATAATTCTGGAGCTGGTTGCGAAATCTTTAAGAAATTACTGACAAACGGTCTATTTGACCATTTAATTTCATTTTTTGTGTAATATGGTAGGTTATTGAGGTGTAGTCCGTGTTCAACAACAGGTCTTATTGCTATATGACATGGTGGTATTGCAGGTGTACTTGGCCTAGCTATTAAAACAATTAAAATGTATAAAGAAACCAAATAAAAATAATTCAAAAAATATTTTATATACCATAAGCATTGTTATCTGATTGCTGTTCATCTTCAACTGTTTCTAAAATATACAGTGTAATTGTTTCATAAAGAAAATAATTAGAAACAAAAAAATAAATAATATAAAATAATATTTTACATACCATTATTTATGCCAAAAACGTTGAAATCTTCATCATCTTGGAAATCAAACAGTTCAAAATCATCAAGTACATTTTCAACAGGTCTTATTGCTATCTGACGTGGTGGTAATGTAGGTGTACTTGGCCTAGCTATTAAAAAAATTAAAATGTATAAAGAAACCAAATAAAAATAATTCAAAATAATATTTTATACACCTACCATAAGCATTGTTATCTGATAGCTGTTCATCTTCAACTGTTTCTAAAATATACAGTGTAATTGTTTCATAAAGAAAATTTAAATAATTAGAAACAAAAAAAATAAATAATATAAAATAATATTTTACATACCATTATTTATGCCAAAAACGTTGAAATCTTCACCATCTTCGAATTCAAACAGTTCAAAATCATCAAGTACATTTTCAAACATTTGTTCTTTACTAGACTTTTCGATTTCTGAACAAGGGTATTCATTGTCATCAACAAAATCATCGTCGTCGCCTGACAATGATGATAGTTCTGAATCTCTCCCATCACCTAGCAATTCGATGATGTCTCCGTAGGGCAGCTGATGCTGCTTTTTTAACATTTCAAACTAGAGTTTATAACATAAATTAAATTTAATCAACTGATTATAACTATCTACCTATGTGGTTTAATTAAAAGAATACTTACTAATATAGTTGATATTCTTCACTAAGCAACAGAAACAAAATTCGTAACGTAACACCGAGTTACTCGTTCGAGTACCGGACGAGATTCGGAGAATAAGGATAAATGATAACGAATAACAGCGGCAAAATGCACGTGCACGTGAATAATACTATTATCGGTTATCACAAAATGTTGTAAACGCCCAAGGCCCAACTGCCATTATAATGTCATATTACTTAAGACGATACCACTCACTGATAAAAGATAATAACCACATTTTAATACCGGCATAATACAATAACAACAGTGTTGACACGGGAAAAAAAATATGGGATTTTTCCCAATTGATTATCAATAATTAATATTTATTACAAAAAAAAAAAAAAAAAATCCCGGCAAATTTTTTTTTTTTTTTTACATCATTGATTTTCAATATAGTTTAGTGATAAAATATATAATCATAATTCTTATTATTATCTATAAATATTCGTTGACAAAATAAACCAATTTCCCTCCAATTATACACACAATTATAATTTCTACATTTATTTTTAATGTAATGCCATTATAATGACATTGGGGCCTGAAAGGGTTAATTAGTAGGTATAAAGAATGTTAAAATTTTTGTAAATAAAATATACAATACACCGACCGTTGTAATTTTTTATAAAGTTTCATAGTTATACCATATATTTTTAATATTCTCATTACTTTTACATATTCAAGGTTTAGTTTTATTGGCTGACAAATTAACAACAATGTATTTAAATAGTGTAGGTATACATAGTAAAATAATATATCACAGCTCCATAGACACATCAATCTAAAAAGTAAAAACTACAAACCTCGTTGAATGAAATCTCTTTCTGATTCAAAAAATTGAATCTGGACCTAAACCTAATCAAAAGTGTGACTATTATATTCACCTTCAAAAGATACAGTAATCCTAGAAACGTCTGTTAGTTTTGATATTAGATTTAATTTACTTATCATACAACTTTTAGGTAAAGATATTATCTGTGTTTTCTCGTTGGGTTTTCACAATATTTTAATTTTTAAGTTAATTATGACTTTATGAGGATTTTAAAATATTAATATTTTTACATACCTACTCATAAGCCATAACTCTCTTAAAAATTAAAATATTGTAAAAAACCAACGAGAGAACACATATAATGTTGTTACATATAATTGAAAGTTTGATAATAGTAGGTCCATTCACCCAAATATCAAAATTGACAACATCCTATTGAAACTACCGAACGAAAATAATTATTTGCTATGTCGTACGTGTGTAAGTCGGAGACAACACATGAGGGTGAGATGTCCTCTTAACAATCAGGCATACACAGACATACAGTGGAATTGAAAAGATAACTAGGTGATGTAAAATATAAATACTTATAATAACGGCATATAATACATTAATACTTCTGGTTATAGGGAAATATTATATAATTATGATAATAAAAAAAATATACATGTAGGTACATTTTAAAACAAAATTATACAGGCTAATTCCCAATTGTCATTAAAAAATCAAATATGCCCAAAGTGCAAAACATTATTATGGTTATGCGTAAACATAATATTATAACATTTATATGGTTTACCGGTTTACGCATGGTCGGGTGTGATTTATCACATGAATAGTTATTTGTATCAAAGTATAAATTATGTATTGTGTAGTGTAATAAATTAAATGAACAAGTAGACGATTTTTGGTTCATAAAATTATTATCTGTCTTTTTTTTCTTTATTGTAATGCAACTGCAAAGTTTAGTTTGACAATATTTTCTTTTATTTAAATTAATCACATAAAGTGACTTGACAATTCAAAAAAACACATAACAAGGAAGAGGTTTGTTGTGTAATTGATAATATCGTATTGACTCACAGTACTCCTTGAATGCAACCTGATTATCCGAGTGACGTGGTTGGCAGCTTGGCTCTAATGACACAGCACGTGGAAAAATGATATTGTGGACAACGACTCCCTTTGTCCGTAAACAACGATGCATTTTACAAGTAAGTGTTGATAAGCGGGCGGCGCAACAATTTTCGTAAACACGACAAACGGGCGGCGCAAATAGTCTCGTTGGCGGTGGAGTATAAATGACGACATCCTATAGCGGCGCGGCATATAAATAACGACCTAATGTTGCGGCACAACGTGCGGACGGCGATACGATACGGCGGCAATGGCAGTCTCACCGGTCAGTCTGGACCAGAGTGTTGCTGGCCCCGGACACGGTTCAGAAAAATCAACGGACGGAAGAGAAAATAATACGAGTGGTAACAGACGGTGGATTACTGCGTTTTCGTCGGCGGTACGACAACGTAATATACAAGCGCGGCGTATGAACGGCACGACGGACGGACGGCGGTTTGCGGCGCACGTTGGCGGCGATATGATAATTCTGGCCAGTCTGGACCAACTATTGTAGTAGAATATATTAGGGAAGTGTACGAAGACTTTCCGTTACCACGTGTCAGTCTGAACCCAGCTATTGCTGGGCCCCAGCCACGATGAGTTTGTCACCGGGCCGCCTTAGAACTGTTACGAGAGCGTAAGACTATTCGGAGCTGTGTGCAGTGGTTGTTTTGGCCGTCGCTCACGGAAACTATTTACCAACTCTCTTGGTACACTCCGTGTGCGGGAATGGCGATTTGTGTTGCATCTGTCTCGGTGGTATCGACTGGTATGTGTTTACGTCCGGGCGTGATGTACTGTTGATAGTAGGTGTTTGGAGTGACGCGTTTGATATAGATGTCATCACATTTGCATATAAGTTAATTAAAAAGTGGTAATTAGCACTGGTATGGTCATAATTAAACAGTGAGCGCATTCCACGCTATCTAATGTGCGGGCCCAAATTAGCCCAACCCTAATGTCGCAGGTTAGGTTAGTTTTTATGAATCAGTACGATTCTTGCTACTTTAAATTCATCAAGCAAATTTCAATTTGTTATGCTGCAGTTTTATTATGTGTACAATAGAAAATATCACGTTGTCTCCTATTTGTTTAAAAATAGTGATGTATCTATAGTGTATAACCATCAACACCGGGTGCTGAGTTTTGATTAACTTATAACTATCAGGCGCGGATACAAGGGGGGCTATGGGGGTTGAAGCCCACCCTTACACAAGGACTTCAGTACTTGAAATATTTCAAAACTTAAACTAAATGCCCATGCTTTTATGTATTTTAAGTACATCCTTTGTCTAGCCCCCCCCCCTTTTTCATTTCTAGATCAGCGCCTGTTTACTATACTCAATTCAAAAACATTCACATCAAGCATTCAAGCTAAATGAACTTGACGGACCCAAACATTACAACATAGAGAAAAAAAACACTTTGAATTGCCCTAGTAATTGTATGGTATAATACTATAATATATATTATACATACTAGCCCACCCGTCACAGCTTCGCCCGTGCTTGGTTGTTTATTTTACCTCCGGACGATGAGATATAACATTTTTTATTCAAATTTTACCGATTAATGTGATCGGCAAGTAAATATAAAAATGGTTAATGAAAACGTATTGAAATGTTTCTAGCGCTATTAATGATATATAATATAATATATAATATATTTATTAAATATAGCTGATCCCGTGCACTTCGTTCCCCCTTAAATTTAGCAACTCTATATGTCTCAAACTTTCTTCAATTTGTTATTTAATATTCAGTGTATGGCGTTCAACATTTATCTTAACTGTTCCGTTGCCTAGATTCCAGAATAAAAATTCTGATTCGCAGCAGTACATTATCGGGTAGGCAATCTACCTGCCGTAGATCGCGGACCCCGTGCTGTTTGTACGTAAGTGTAAGATTTAACTCTAAAGTATCAAAGTTATACCAAGTTTGTCGTATTCCACCTATGGTGGATTAATATAATCAGTTAATACAAAATCCTAACCTAACCGAACTATAATATCAGATGAATAAAAAAAAAACCAAATTTAACCATTTTTAAATTAGCCTGTCTTCTTCCCAGAGAAGTCTATACTTATTAATACCTACTTCCGAAAAACATAGTACGGTGGCTATTATTATGTTTATACTTTAAAAATGCTATACTAGCAAACAATTCTAATTTACTAAATAGAAAGCATTGTTTTTTTTTTGCTAAACTAAATAATTATAATAATTGTTTGAATGTTATTTATTTTCAGCCCTCGACTATTTCTTACTAAAAAAAGATATAGATCCGACTTCTTCTGACTAAATTTTTAACTATATACCTTATTGGGGCCCCAAAATTCATTCCGGTGCACATTTAACTAATCCTCTATTGCATTTTGTAAGTGATGGTTAAATTTTTCTTTTGTAATTTGAGCCACATTTTAAGACATTTGTGTATACATAGTATGTAGGTCAGCCTATGATATGAATTTTTATATACTTATCTTACTATTAAGTATAACGTAGGTTGATTTAAGTTTTGCTGCAAATGTTGTGTTTATTATATTTTTTTTTAAGATTTAACAAATAGTTGAACAATAATGGAATGTGCATAGCTTTGACCAGTCAACAAAACAATTGAGGTTCTTTCTAGTTCAAAACTTTGATGAAAACTTGTTGATTTCCTAATATACCTACCTATAACTAATGTCGAATAACTACAAAAGTTTATTAATTTATAGAATAGTTTTGTATAAGCTTCCATTAAAGGTTTAAAACTTTGATATAAATATAAAACTTTTCATGAATTTCCAACTCCAAATAATTCTCAAAATGTTATGTATTTGAATAATTTTGTTAAAATTTGAACTTGGTTTTTTTTTATTTTTACACCTATATACACTAAGAAACTCCTATTAATTGCCTATTACTTAAAAATAAGAGTTTCGCTATGGGGGCAGTAAAATAAAATTAGAAAAAGTTGAAAATATTTTTATTAAATATGTTTTGCCTGTCCATGTGAGTTAACATGGACAGGCATGGACTAGATATTGTATTAACTAAAGTTACTATGGTATTTGGTCATTAATGTATTTTCAGGTAATTTTAAAATACTGATCATGAAATTTACTGAGGTACCTACACTAAAACCGCGAAACACTGATATAATATCACACTTGTTCTTTAATTTTTTCCTGAGCGATGTTTATCGAACTGTTTATCCGTAAGTACAACATATTTATTTTATCCTTACAAAATATTTTCTATATTCGTTTACTCAATTGCTTATGAATACACATCGTGTCATCGTGTTTTGTTTACTGAATAACCTTATAAATACCAAAGCAATAAAATATTTCATATTATTCTTATATTCAACATTTTGAAAATCATTCATTCTTTGTACCTACCTATAAACATGGTCAAAAATATTAATATGTTAACTACATTTCTTATGTTAAGCTTTTTAGTTTGTACAATATACGCTGGTTTTAGTAAGTACTTTATACATCTTTTTTACTTTACATGATAAAACACAGATTAATATTAATGAAGAATCATAGGTATAAATTAGGTACAAAATTGTAATTATAATTCATAAAATGTTATTCTAAAGAAGTAATAATCAAATAATATTATTTAAGAGAATCAGATTTCGAATAAAATTAAATCGATAAACAACAATCATTTTGAATCTATAAGCACGCAAAATATTATGATGATAGTTTTTATTTTTTATTAATTAAAATGTATAGCTAACTGTAGAGTTTTTTTTTTTATTATTATTATTGTAGGGAGGAACAGTTGGAACGGTTTGTCGAAACACGTGTGTTTTTTAGCAGAATTTCATATCAGGCACCCTTAGGTTTCTGCCATGCCCGGTCGGGGGATGGTGGCCTCACTCTCTAGACAGTTGCCTGCCCAGAGACCAGATCCCACAGAAACCGATGCCATAGTCCGCTCGGCCACTCCGTCAAGCTAAAGTTAATTCATACAAACATAAAGTTGTTATTTGGGTACACTGGACTGTTTTAGAAATTCAATTATACATCTATGATTATTTCCACTAAGATATTTAGAATTACCTGTGATAATTCTTATGTTTCTTAATAATATAATAATTCATAACCCAATCTAAACAATATAGTCACCAATATATTTTAAAGATGATAAAAAAACATGAGAATTTTATATTTTCAGTAGGTATAACCAAATTAATTGCTACCTTATACATTTTGAAATATAAAATATTTTTACTAGCCTTAATCATTATTTTAGTACAGTGGCGGTTTTTAGGGGGGCTCTCACCTCCCCCACCCACTTGGATTTTTTTTGCATGTCCTTTTAGATTCTGAAGCAAAGCGATGAATGTATTGATTTTACAATGATGTGTGTTTTTTTTAGATTCTGAGTGAAACGATGAATGTATTGATTTTACAATGATGTGTGTTTTTTTTTTTATTTTTTTTTTTTTATATTTATTTTTTTTGTGTCTGTGTACACGATAAGTAGTCAAAATAATGCTTCGATTTTCGACTTCAGTATTTTGTTCGATTGGAAAGTGAATATCGTTGGTGCATTGGGGAGGTCAAAATTTAAATTTCCCAGTAGTTTTCAAGAGCGCCGGGAAAAACAGCATAAAAATTAAGGAAAAACGGGAATTTTTACGCAAAATCAGTTTTCCAAAAAATCGATTTTGGTTTTTGGTGTAACTTTAAAACAAATAACCGTAGATATATGAAATTTTCAGTGGTTGTTTATATTTGCATTTTCTATACACGATAACATTTTCAAAATATTTTGATTTATGCCTTACATATTATAATAAAATAATTTAAAAGGAAATTTATATTCTATAGATTAGTTTTTTTCAACTGTATTCTTCATCTAATTTATTTTCAAAGTCCAATATGTCAAAAATACAACCGGGTTCTTATTATTTTGGAAATTTAGAAAATGTAGAATGTAGATATTTTAGTGTAAAAAACATTTAATCCATAAGTCATAGTCATTATACTACAATTTTCAGTATTTAGTTGTATTATTGGATTTTTAAATGGTTGGTCCTAACAATACTGTGCGACTGTGCTTTTTAAAAAAAAATATATAAAATACTAATTCTAGTCATCTCCTTGAAATGGGAGTATTTTTTTCATTTTCCTCGTTTGTTAAAAAGTTAAGATCCAACACTGCCCACTGTCCTTCTACAGTAAAAAAAATCTGCAAAGCGCAATGGCTATATATCTCCCACCTAAGAAATTTCACCCAGTTTCTATTTTAAAAAAAACTTAAAAAAAAACACTTGTCTTTTGAATATAACTAAATATAACTCTACAAAAATAATAAAATAATATAAAAAAAAACAAACTCAACTTTAAAAAACAATTGGCAGGCATTGAGCACTAAACATTGCAGTTGGAAAAAGTTAAAAAGGTCGAATTCCGACCTTGGGGGTTGGAAAAACGTTTCCCCCGCCACAAATATAGTTTTTTAATTTTTACGGGGGTGGTTTTTGAGCAGGAATTCCGTGATTTGC